AAGATGCTCATGAATATGCATACTCAGGATCAATCCATCTCCTATGCTGGATGCATTTCCCAGGTGTATTTCTTCATATTTTGGGGGGATCTTGATAGCTTCCTTCTCACCTCAATGGCCTATGACAGGTATGTGGCCATCTGTCATCCCCTGCACTATACAACCATCATGAGTCAGAGCCTGTGTGTTTTGCTAGTAATTGTGTCCTGGGTCCAATCCTGTGCTAGTGCTCTTTTGCACACCCTCCTCCTGGCCCGTCTTTCTTTCTGTGGAGACAACACTCTCTCGCACTTCTTCTGTGATCTCTCCACCTTACTTAAGCTGTCCAGCTCAGATACCACAGTCAATGAGCTGCTTATCCTCACCGTGGGAGTGGTGGTCATTACTGTGCCACTCATATGCATCCTGGTTTCTTATGGCCGCATTGGGGCCACCATCCTGAAAGTCCCTTCCACCAAAGGCATCTGCAAAGCCTTGTCCACATGTGGCTCCCACCTCTCTGTGGTGTCTCTGTACTATGGAGCAATTATTGGGCTGTACTTTTTTCCTTCATCCAACAACTCTAGCAACAAGGATGTCATTGTGGCTGTATTGTATACCCTTGTCACTCCCATGCTAAATCCCTTTATCTACAGTCTGAGGAATAGGGATATGAAAGGGGCTCTGGGAAGTATACTCAATAGAGGAACGTGTTCCTCACGATAAGCACTGTTCTCCCTATTCATTGGATATAAGACCTGCTCATCCTGCACATGCAACATGAACATCCTTTCCTCTCCAAAATCTAAAAGATTAAAAAGGTTCTGCCAGTAGTTTAACTATCTACCAGAACAAAGCTCAGCACCTTTAAAACTAAAATATGCTTCATACAAAATGCATCTTCCAAAATTTTCAATAAACATTGAATAATTACAAACACATGAAGTAAACAAAAGGGCATCATGTCAAGAAAGGGTCATAAGAAACAGATCACAAGAAAGCACAGACACTGAAATTGACCAAAAAATATGTGGCAGTAGTTATCATAAGTATGTTCATTACATAAAAGAAAAATGGTTATAATGAGTGGGGCACACAATTCATGTAAAAACATAACAACTCAACATTTCTCAAATTTGGTTAAAAGCATCAACTTACAGGATCAAGAAAGAAGTTAAGCAAACTGAAAGAAAGATAAATTTGAAAAAAAGAAATGCACCTACACACATCATAACTAAGGGTAAAAAGAGAACCAAAGGCAAAGAATAAACCCATGAAGATGCCAGAGAAAAAGGATACAAAACACCTTAGGAAGACTGATAGGGAATTCGGCAGGATTAGGGTGAGGAGGCTGAGCTGTGCAGGTATAGGATCAGTTTCTGTCTTTATTTACATTTTATTATTTTGTCGATCATATATTTTTGTATTAATTTTAATTTGGTAAAAGAGTGCATTGAGCTCATCTTAATTAAAAATTAATCTTTAAGTAATATTTGCTTTAATTACTGAATTTTTGAAATGTCTCAAATTTTGCACTTGAGGCAAATTTTACACATATGCTTCTTTTGCCTCACTCTAGTCTCACCCTAATCAGCAGCACTTTAAAAAAAAATCACACTTAATTTGTATGTAAGTACTAGAACTAACTCTTAGCCTTCTCCCACAATATCTTAAGCTAACAAAATAACTTTAAACAATGTCAGTGAACTTCTCCAGGTATTTTAAATTTCCAATGGAGTTTAAGAAGTTCTGAGAGCATTTGTGGTTAATCCAATGATTGAATCTGCTACCAGCATTTAGTGGTCAGTAGCCAGTGCTGCTGAATGGCTTGAAATGCACAAGACAGCCTGCCCAACAAAGAACTGCCCTATTCAAAGTGTTAAGAGTACCTCCACTGGAAAATACTGATAGCCAAACATGCAAATATTTCCCCATTTTCTTATGATCACTTTCAATGTTTCTTTGAAATACATGGTAGATTAAATTAATAATCTTCATAAAATATCTCAAAAGTACATGAAAACAAAACAAAACATGATGACCAAGATTGCTCTGGAATGTATTTTTATTTATATCTACTAGAGGCCCGGTGCACAAAATTCGTGTAAAGGGGGAGATCCCTCAGCCCGGCCTGCACCCTCTCCAATCCAGGACCCCTCAGGGGATGTCCGACTACCGGCAGTCAGACATCCCTCTCACAATCCGGTCAGCCTGATCGCCCCTAACTGCTCTCCCTTGCCAGCTTGATCAGACCTAACTGCTCTCCCCTGCCGAACTGATCACCCCCTAACTGCTCCCCTGCCGGCCTGATTGCCCCCTAACTGCTCCCCTGCCTGACTGATCGCCCCTAACTGACTCTGCCTCGGCCCCCACCACCATGGCTTTGTCTGGAAAGATGTCCGGAAGGACGTCCGGAATTAACATAATACCCTTTTATTAGTATAGATTAGAACTGGAACATTCCAAGCTCACAATTAGTAGATATTTGGATCTCCATTATAAGGAGATTGTTATGAAGACCCAGGAAGTGCTTATAATTTCAGATCACTGAAATGAAAATAGAACTTTGAAGCATTTCTCAAAAGTACTGAAGTATATTATATTTTGTGATAAAACTAATTATTCTAAGCCAGGGGTGAGGACTGTCCGGCCCACTGGCCATAAAAGGCCCACAAAATCATTTGGTCTGGCCCTGCCAAGGCATTAGGGGTGAGTTAATTAAATGTTTGACCAAATATAGCAGGCTAATTTTTAAGTTGATAATTTTGTATGGCCCACAAATGATGTTATAAATATCCAAATGGCTCTTGGCAGAAAAAAGGTTTCCCACCCCTGTTCTAAACTAACGTCAACAGGAATGGCAGGGAAAGGACCCTGGAATATACCTACTCTAACAAAAAATAAAATATCTAAAAATCCTGTAAAAAATAGTTTATTTCCTGATTTTTTCCTAAGGACATGGGAATGATGAGATGAATTGTGGCCTCTTTGAGACTGGGAATCTAGAACACATAGAGATAAAATACTGGATGAAAAAAATCTACATATTTTTTTAATTCACAGAAATATTTACTTGTTCCATCCAACATACAGATTTCTTTTTACTTTTGAGTGATCAATCCCTCACTCTTAAAAACCAACCTTTTTTATCACTTCTTTCTGCCAGGCAAGAATCTGAGATCCAGGAAGTTGTCAGAATTGCATATTGCCTTTTTTCTCATTTTTCTGAAGTCTAGTTGCATTTATTGTACCCACCTTTGTGGGGATGGGGCATGGGAGCAAGAGTGAGAAAGGGGTGACAATAATATGCCTCTTCGGTTGCTACCATATTAAAGAGGTTTGACTTCTCTCCACCTGGATGATGGTTAAAACTAATTCATTCTTTTGTTGTCACTTCCAGGCCAGGGGATATTCAGAGACTTCCATACTAGACTGCCTTCCCACAAATCTTCTGTGATATAGCTAAAGTACTAAGTATATTTCTTTCCTGTGAATGTTTCCCCTCATAGCCCCTGGTTCTGGGGAGGTGCATCCCCTACCGATCTCTTACTCTTTCTTGGAATCTCCCAGACTTTCTAATGGGTTTTCTTGGGAAGAACTGAAAATGGTTGCATATCAGTTCTCTCTCACACATAATCCACCTGTGGTCCATAGGAAACATTTATGCTTTTATTGCCCCACTATGAAAATAAGTGTAGGTGTTTCTCAAATATAATTCATTCTCTTTCTTGCTCACTCTCACTCTTGCTCTCCTCCCATTTCATCTTTCCTATTGCTCTTCACATTCATAAAAACAGGGGATATAGTATATCAAACTCTTTAAATGGTGCTGTTGAAGCTTCTCCAAGGTTAAGGTGAGGAGGAAGGCACATCCCCCCAAGGGAGATTTTGGGACTCACTGCTCAGCTTTATCCAAAAGAAACATCTTTACAAGAACCTCTCATCTTCTCCATCTCTTAGCATTTTAGATCCAGGTTCAGAGGCTCAAGAGTTATGAAATTGATTATATGGTATTTCCTATAAACATCTTTATTGTGTGCCTTACAGCTCCCTTTGGTATCTGGTGTCTCTGAAATCATGGTGCCTCTGTTGGAACTTCTAGTTCAAGGCTGCTCCCTTTGCCTTGATCATCAGGATGAGAGAAGACTTTGTGTGTCTGGGTAATTCTGATTTGTTAAGTCTCAGGTAAAGCAGCACCTTCTCTCGGGAGTTTTTCATATATCCTCTGCCACTGGGCTGAGTTGATTATTCCTCTTCAGGACACAGCGTTCTATAGAATTATTCTTGACTGAATCGCTGTGGAGTCAGACAGCCAAGATTCAAGTTTTCATTTCACTAACTGCAATTATAAATTGTCCTTCGCCTCTTTGAGCCTGAGTTTTCCCTACATATCTCTTAGGGTTGTTCTCAGGATTAAAGTAGATGGCTTTAATGCATATTAAGCTCTCTGACTGGTACCTGAGACAATGGATGTGACATTTATTTTGTTGCTGAATATCTGCATGTGTTGGGGAGAAAGGATGTGTGAGATATATTCCTAAAGGACGGGAATGCAGTGTGTTAATTATTATGTAAGGAGAGTAAAATTTAATATGTTCTCCCTTAAAGTTATAGAAGGGCTCAGAGTCCCTGGATGTGTGGGTGCTTGGGGGAGGAGACGCCATATCATTACCAAAATGAAAAATGCTTTCAAAATGAAGGTGTGAAAGGCCAAACACATTTTACAACTTAAAAATTGGGGGAAGGACCAGCCCTGGCAGCTTCTATTTAATGATACCAGCCAAAGTGACACGGTATCCTCCAAGTATTTTATAATCCCCATTATTAAAAAAAGAGCAAATTAAGTCCTATAAAGCACATCCTATGTTACTATTCCCATAACAAGTCCAAGAATAATGTCAGCCAAGGTTTGTGATTGACAGCTATAGAAGGAAGACAAGTGAGCTCTGTTTTTAATAATTTATATTTACATGCTATTAAGGAAATATGATCACATGGGTGTTTTAAAAAGAAAGTTAGTATCAGCTGGAATAATATGTTTTCTTATGCAAGAATTTCCTCAGTGCCCCTTTCATGTCTTTATTTCTCAGGCTATAAATAAAGGGGTTCAGCATGGGAGTCACCACTGTGTACATCAATGAAGCGATTATGTTATTGTCCTTGCTGTTGTTGGATGAAGGAAGAAAATATAGGCCAATAATTGCCCCATAATACAGAGTCACTACTGAGAGATGAGAGCCACACGTGGACAGAGCTTTACGGATGCCCTTGGAAGAGGGAACCCGGAGGATGGTGGCCCCAATATGTCCATAAGAAACCAAGATGCATAAGAATGGAAGCATAATGGCGGTTAATCCTGCAGTAAAGATTACCAGTTGGTTGAGAGAAGTGTCTGAGCAGGACAATTTGAGCAGGGCCGCAAGGTCACAGAAGAAGTGTGGGACAGTGTGGTCAGCACAGAAGGACAGACGGGCTAGGAGGAGAGTATGCAAAAGAGCACAAGCAGAAGCAATGACCCAGGACCCAGCCACCAGCATGACACAAACGTTCTGGCTCATGATGGTGGTGTACTGCAGAGGGTGACAGATGGCCACATACCTGTCATAAGCCATTGATGTGATCAAGAAACTGTCCAGATCAGCAAAGAGTATGAAAAAATATGTCTGTGAAATACAGCCTTCATAGGGGATAGATAGGTGCTGGGTTTGCATGTTCGTGAGCATCTTAGGGACAGTGACAGATGAAAAGCAGACATCAGTGAAGGACAAGTGGCTGAGGAAGAAGTACATGGGCGTGTGCAGGTGAGAGTCCAGCCTGATGAGCAGGATGATGAGCAGGTTGCCCAGCACCGTGGTCAGGTACATGCCCAGGAACAGGGTGAAGAAGAGGCCCTTCTGCCCTTGTGGGATGGGGAGTCCCAGGAGGAGGAACTGGGACATGCTGCTCTGGTTCTCCCTCCTCATACTGGTACCCTAGCTGGAGCAGACTGGTGGAAAAAGCTGAAGGAAAAGGTGGAATTCCTTGGAATTAAAAAAAATGATAGTTGTGACATAGCATAATAGAGACATTCTTTTGATTTAGAGAATGTCTTCATATTTTCTTACATTTTATGTATATTTTGCTGAATAAATATAAAAGAAGTATAGCTTAGGATATACAACCACTTTCTTTCTCAATGTGGTCCCAGTCTCTGTATATGATAATATTAACAGTTAATGTTTATTAAATGTTGTTTTGTGCCCTGGTCTAATAATTTACATGCAGTAACTGACTCAACAATCTTAAGTATATGAATTAGATTGGTACTGTTATTATTTCCACTCTTCGGATGACAGAGCTGAGGCAGACAGTCTCACTCTCACAGCGGTAAGAAAAGGAGAAGCTGGGATTTTGGACCCAAGCATTGTGACTCCAGAGTTTGTCCTCTTGAAACAAAGCAAATTATTTGACATCAGAAATCTCATCAGCCTTCATAATTTTGTGTGTAATGATCTGTTTAACTCTGTATCCCCTGCTTGTCTACATATCCCATAATTATTTCTAATTGGTTCATTGGTTGTAGAACAAGAATCTGTCACAGATAATTAATGCATACACAATATAAATTTGTTGATCAAATAAAAGATGTCTGATCCAATTAAATTTGTCATGACAGCCCATTTAAGAAACTTACATCAGGCCTTATTCAAGACCCCGGTTTAGTCCTAATAATCCTAATAACATGGCATCACATTCAAAGAAGTGCATCTAAAAGCCAAAAATAATTTTAAAGAGGAATTCTAATCCTTCCAGTGTTTTTAAATTAGCCTACAAGAGATTTATTTCCTAACCCAGATCATTAATTATTGAAATATCACTATATATAAATGGTAAAGACAGGAATTCACTATAACATATCAAATCTTACTATACAGCTACATTGATTACAACAAATAATGTATTTTTATGAAGGTAAACCAATAAACCAGTGGAGGAAAATAGACAGCCTAGACACAGACACATTTATAAAGAGGACTTGGTAACTGACAGAGTGGCACTATAAATCAGTGAAAAAAATACAGACTCTTCAAGTAATGGTGCTAAGGCAGTTTTCTTTCGATAAGGGGAAAATAACATTATATCACTACTTCACACCATACATAAAAATAATCCCAGATATATTAGAAACTTAAATGTAAGAAGCAAAATTTCAGAAACATTAGAAAAATTTTGTAAATTATAATATGATCTTAGGGTAGTAACACATTTCTGAATCAAGACTCACCAAAGCATACTGCACAAATATAAATTTGATTGCATTAAAATAAAGTTTCTTTAGTACAACCACTACCACCGTAGAGACAAAGAGACAAGCCATGGGTGGAGAAGGCACACTGCCCAATTGGTAAGAGATTAGCACTCAGGATACATGCAGAATTCCTGTGAGTTAATAAGAACAAGACAAAAAGCTCAATCAATATGAGCTAGAAATTCACAGGAAAAAATGAAGTCAAATAGTCAATACACTATCCAACACGAGGGAAAGAAGCAGGAGCAAGAAGATAGTGTCCAGAGGTCTCATCATCACTTTGTCAACTGGATTCAGAAGGCCACCATATGCCACCAGACCTGGTTTCCCACCCCAACTGAGTGAAAGAAAGAGTGTAGTTATGAACCAACTTAATCCAATAAGGAAAATTTCATGTCAAATTATAACTTTCAATGACTACAGCAAAGCAGCTGACTGGCTCCCTATATATCTGGAACCAGATATCTAATCAGTATATTAATGAATGCTTAACCATCAGGTCTCCTAGAAAGAGGTGAAGATGGTTTGCTACTTAGCCCCAGAGGCAGAGAGGCTTTCTGCACAGATTCCAACCCTTGGACCCAAACCTGATCCCACAGTCTTCATGGGTTGTGGGAAATGAGTAATGGAACGCACTCTTAAATTTCTTGAGATTCTTCAGATTATCTGGGTCAGTTTTTCTCAGGGGACATGCAGAACTATACCTGTGTGGTGTGGCTTCCAGAGCATCGAGCCTTCCATATTCCTTCCCAAAACACCACCCTCAATAGCCTACAGATACCTTAAATTCTTTCAGCAAGAGGAAAAAGGCTTTAAGGTCCCAACTACAGATTAGGTTTAAAGGCTAGTATTCCAGAGACAGTCCTCTGTTCAACACTCTCACTGAGATAGAATGGCTGGGAGCCGTCCATTTGAGGGGGGAGCAGGTTTGGATGGCTGAACAAGGCCATTGGCCTACTAAGACAAAGTGGGGAGGGGTAGAGGGGAGAGGTGGGGATTACAGGTATAGTGAAAGCAGAGGCTGTAGACACTGAAAGGAAATTTACAATCTTTCCAATTTGACTTAGATGGCTGCCAATGAGATGGCTGTGATGGGGCTAGAAATAGTCACATTGTCAATAAAATAGGATTTAGCACCTAATTTGGACCAGGTGCTTTTCAAATACTGCTCACTTCTTCCCACATAGGCATCTAATTCTCATGTTAGGGAGAAGAAAATTGAGACTCAGTGATTAAACTAACCCAATGTTATAGCACTAGTATATGGTGAACCTGGGATTTGATACTAGGTCTATCTGGCTTCAAAGACTAAATTCTTCCCACTGTATTACATGATTTTATTAACTATATTCTCAAGGAAGACAGTGGTTGCTGCCTGAAAGCACTCTAGAACCTTAGGAAATAAATCTGAAAGTTTGAGAAAGAATGAAAACCTATGGTTTCAAGATATGTGCCTAGATGGTAATATCAATAATAATGACAATAACAATTATAATGAAGACCATTTATTAATCACATATTTATTGTGGAATATAGGCCAACTGGTGTGACATATACTTTCTATCATATCAGCCTAACAGGACCACAAAAAAAGGCATTATTCTTATTTAACCATTTGAAAACTAGGGCTTAGAGAGTATAAATAATTTGCCTAAAATATTCAGCATGGAAATATGGACAGGTCATTCAATCTCAGATTTATCAGATATCAAACCCATGTTTCTAACCACCATAGTATATTTTTTCTAGCAGAGCATAATTTGACCCAAAAAAAGACATCTGCTCCTCATTAAAGAGCAGAAGATTGGATTTGTAATTTCCCAAAAGCTTTTGGATAAATGTCCCTAATCAGATGACCAAAAGTGAATACAGAAACTAGAATACCAACCAATGAATTTAAAAAGACAGCTGCCTGCTCGGCTGGCATGGCTCACTGGTTGAGTGTTGACCTATGAACCAGGAGATCACAATTCCATTCCCGGTCAGAGCACATGCCTCGTTGCAGGCTTGATCCCCAGTGTGGGGCATGCAGGAGGTAGCCGATCAATGATTCTCTCTCATCATTGATGTTTCTCTCTCTCTCTCTCCCTCTCCCTTCCACTCTGAAATCAATAAAATATTTTAATAAATAAATAAATAAAAAGACATCTGCTTATGAAGTGAATTTCTTGGGGCTCCAGGTCAGACCCTGGTCAATGTTTTTGATGGACTACCTAATTTCAGCCAATATCGGAAAGTTTAAAGCACCTATGGTACATATCCATTGGAAATAATAGTATTTAGCCGATGAAATAAGTTCATGAAAAGCATATGTTATAATATTTGAAAGAACATAATAAAAAAATTCTATACACACGTTTACAATTATTTGCAAAAAATACAGACCACTGTTTTAAACCTGGAAGTTTGTGCCCATAGTTTGAATGCAGGCCAGATCTTTAGCAAAATTGTAAAAGAGATCATATTTTCCTAGAGAAGAAAGTACAAACCTCAAGGAATTATAATTATTACATCCATCTAAGTTATTCAATATGACACAACAAACTTATATAAAGTGCTTGGCATAAATCATACACACACACACACACACACACACACACACACACTGCTGACTGAAGCCTACAAGAACTGCCCTTACCTAGCTCAGGAGTAATAAATTCAAATACTGTCAGCTCTAAGGTATGAACTAATATTTCAATTTCTCTCCAAGAGGGTTAGACCTGGGAAAGAAAGAAAAGTCACAAGCTCAACCCTGAAGTGGGAAGGAGGTACACTCTCTCTTTTAAACCAGATCCAGCCAACAACAAAGGTATCCATTTTTACCAGCCAGGCTGGGAACCCAGGAGACCAAGGTCACAAATTTCCAGTGAGGGACAAGGAACAATTTGGGAGTAATTACTGCATTTCCTTAACCATTCCCAGTGGAGATGTGCCTTAGCCATATACTAAAGACAGTCAACTCCTTTGGGAATATAAATGAGAACTTTCATATTTGCAGGTTCATTTTTTATAAAGAATTTTCACATCTGTGAGCTCATTTAACCCTCACAATAATTCTTGAGTTAGATAGATTTTCCCCATTGTATTGCTTTTGAGAGTGAGTCAAAAGAAAATTACCAAATGAGGATTCAAACCCAAACACATTAGCTTCAAACATAAAGTCTAGTTCCATTGCACCATGAAGCCTCCCTTGTAACAGTGGGCTCTGTAGCATATGGACTTCTTCCTTCTCATATTCAATCTGGAACTGGGAGAAGAGCTGCTGCTAATCCCTGGGGAATAAAACATGTATCAAGGAATAGTTGGGTTTCTGTTTCTCAGAAATATAGATTTTTTTTCTTCCTGCAGAAATATCTGAATGCATGCAGGGATATTTTTTGACAGTTATGACACATAATAATAGTTGGTACATCCTCAGGTTTCAAAATCTATTCTTTAACCATAAGAATGAGTGTGAGAAGCCTCTGAAACCTACTTCATTAATACTGGCAAATACAGAGGAGAGTAACAGAATCAAGGGGAGGCGATAGCATTTTATTCATTGTTTTTCAATAATTCATTCATTCATTCATTTACTCGTTCGTTAAAATAGTGTGTACCTATTATGTAGCAAGAATTTTGTGAGTACTGTGAGTCTATATTTGAAAACACAGGGTTGTTTTTTCTTTCAAAGAGCCCAATCTAATGAGCAGGACAGACAAAGCAGTGCGTGCTATGGGAGCAAAGAGGTGGGTTATCAACCCCAAATTTAAGGGGTCAAGCAGGTAGGCTTGTAAGATATTACTCATAAGCAGACACTCAAGGCAACCAAAACAAGTAAAAGGTGAGTGGACTGTGTAGAAGAAGGACATTGGGAAGGGAGAAAAATTATCACCCAGGTAATGAAGCTAACTCCACAGGGAACACTAGAATCCAACCTCAAATCTGTCCACCCCAGCAGTGAGTGCACTGAGGTGTTTATGTGCCATCTCCTGTCTGTATTTAACAGAGGACAACTAGGGGTGGTAGTAGAGGGTGAAGAGTATTTCTGGCACTTCTGGCCGGCTGAATGTATAGGCAAATTGAGCTTCAGTGGCCAGAGAAAGTCCTCAAAGAAGTAAAAACAGTGGTCATTGGGGTTCTAGCCAGGATGCACTGAAATGGTAAGATAAACAAGTATGAGCTGGGAATTTGCCTCCTGCACTGTTCAGACCCTCTCACGTCCTGTGACAGGTTCTCCAAGATGGTGGCCATAGGTGCGAACTGAGGGATAGACATCGATGCAACATAGGTAGATGACATGAGGGTCCAGGCTACCTGGTTCTGAAATTTACTTTGGCTCTATCTACTAAGGCTTAATATCAAATTTGCTGCTGGGGGCTACTGACCTTATGACTTTTTGTGCCAGCCAGCACTTAGCTCCAATCACTTGATGGCCCACAGGTAGGCATTTGGACTCTCTACCGCCCAGTAGCTTGGCAGCAGCTCCTACCTCCAGAAGCGCAGCATTGAAGCTCTTCTAATTGAGTCTGTTGGAGGCTCCATGGGGTGCCATTATCTACCGTGGATACTTCCAGCACTATTCTGCCAACTTAGATGACCCTTGGACCATAGTTTGAACCAGCCGCAGAGCCCTCTATTGCTCTATATCCTACTTAAAGCTGGCAGTCTATCAAGTCATTTGACAAATTGGTGAAATCAGTGTTCCAGGTGTGGTAGTAGTATGTCTCCAAAATCTGAAGAGGCCTACAAAGTGCTGTGAAAGGTGCGATAACTTGTCTTTTGCTTTCCAGGTAGAATCCTCTCTTTCATCTATCCCATTGTAAGGTCTTCTGTGTCTATCCCGCACAGCCTGCCACAGGTCTTGTCTCTGACATTAAGCATGTCAGATCTTGCTCCAAAGTGTCTCCACCCTGACTCATTACTCAATCTGTCCAACCCACACACACACACCTTTGTCTGTGCATTGCCATCTGCTCCTGTCTGTACTGCTTGCTTACATTGCTTCCTATGTCTAGTACCTAAGTTCCCTAAATCCTGTACCCAAGCCTTTTTGTCTGCTTGGCCTACCTACTAGCCCCACCATGTCTTCTCCAGGGCATGTCTAGTGTGTCTTTCCCAGGGAATCCAGTGCTTATAGCCAATCTAGCTTTTTTGTCTGCTTGGCCTACCTACTAGCCCCACCATGTCCTCTCCAGGGCATGTCTGGTATGTCTTTCTCGGGGAATCCAGTGCCTATATGGTATAGCCAATCTAGCTGATGGCCCACTTTGAGTTTGCTAAGCTGCTACTGGCTAATATTCGGGGAATTTTCTTCTCTGGCTTTTGCCTCAAATGCTGTTGGACTTCAACAATTCTGAGTTGACAGTCTCTCCCAAGTCCTCTGCTCCGAGGTCTAATACTTGTGGCAGTAATATAGTCATCACAGCTAGAAAGAAGCTCTGCAGGGAGAAGCTATGCTGTATTGACTACCTTTCAAACCCAGACATCAAAAAGGGCAAAATAAATACCCAAAGAGGATTATCTCAAGCTATAAATACTTATTTGTTGTCCTATATATCTCACCCCTAAGAATCACTAATGATACAACAAATTATCATCTTCTCAAACGGTCAATTTCAAAGAACCTGAAGCTTTTCAATTTTAAGAGTCAAATTTTTATGGGTTGCGTGTGTTGACTTTTTTTTCCTATTTGCAAGTTTGCTTTCTTTGTGGGTTATTTTTTGCCTATTTTCAGCCTCCTTTCCTTCCTTCCTTCATTCGTTTTTCTTGCTTGAAAACTGTTTTCATTTGATGTAACCAAATCTAAATTTGTCAATAAAGCAATAAAACTTCCAAAAAAAAAGGTAATTATCCCTGTGTCTCCCCACTTTGCATTTAATAATTATCACTAGAGAGAGAAAATACAAGGTTACCTGGTGGGTAGGTACCCAATGAGATCCCTTTGAGTGGGATATGGTTCTACCTAAATTCTTACAGGCCATTTAGTCATTTGGCTTTCTGTTTGGAACTGGTTGGAGCCAGTCATTCTTTTTTTAACCTCTCTGGAGTTTAACCTATGGGAAAGCAGGACCTGGGACAGAAGGAAGATTAATGGCGCCTTAAGAGCTTTCTCTGTAGGCTCATTCTCTAAAGTTCTCAGCACAAACATCCCTCCCACAGGACATGTTTCTAAAAGAATCAAGGGGGAAATTGGACAATTAATCCAAGTTGATGCATGTCTTCAACAGGAAATTACAAGTTCTGCTCCCTACCCCCTAGGGTTCTCTCCTGGGCTAGTTATACTCTTCAATTTATAGCTCTGGAACTAATCAACAGAAGTGAAAATCTGAACTTGTAGCTTCTCTTTTTGATGCCCAAGAATGTCTAGGACCTTGGAAGCTGATATATAGGTCTCCTAAAGAGAATCTCCACCAGATACACCCACCAAACATTGGATTATAAATGCAGGTATGGTCAGTATTACAAATGGAATGGGTATTTTTTTCTCAGCAATATATGAGTTTATATATGGGTATAGAAGAGGAAGAATCAGAAATATTATTTTGGCATGGAAGGGGAAAGAATGAAAAAGGGGTAAGGGAAGAGAAGGGAAGGGAAGGGAAGGGAAGGGAAGGGAAGGGAAGAAACATGGGGTGACAGGAGAATGAAGATACAGAGGCAGTGGGTGAGATGGAAGGAAGGAGAGAATGAGAGAGAGAAAGATAAAGTGAAGGGATAGACAGGAAGAGAGAAAGAGATGAAAAGAAAGAAAAGTGACTCAAGAGATAAAGACAGAGACACAGTGAAGCAGAGTCTTTCGGAAGGAATCTCCACTTGCTGGATCCTAACATAGAAAACCAGGTCTGGACAGTCCAGGATTTAAGCATTCTGAAACTGTTCAGGTGGGTAAGCCAGGAGCTTAAGGCCAGCTGCTTACACTTTCAAACTATCTCCCTCCCTGCAGGAGGAAGAATGAATTAACATAATCCAGAGTTTCTCAGGGATCCTTTAAAAATTGACATAAATAAAAATATATGTATATTGATGAGTCTTCTTTAAGGAATACAGTACTATTCTTTGTAACCTTTTACTTAAAATTTTGCTTCTCATATGAAATTTAAAAATGAGTACTGAAGTCAAATCTTCTAAAAGTTGCCATGCCCTAGTTGATGGTTTGGAGCACTCACCACAGAGTATCCTTGGGGCAATAATGTGGCTGAGACATCAGGTCCCCGATGCCACAGATACACAAATTCTGTTTTGTCAGTGAACTAAGAAAAGCTGGCTCACATTAACATACCTCATAGACAATTTTTCTAATTTCCTTATGTGCCAACATATAAGGAATATATGAAACACAGGTTAAGTTTCCCAGTTTCTGAAACAAAACATACATATTTTTCATATGACAGCTAAAAATCATTACTACAGAGTCCTTAATATTCTCAACCGTATATATGCATAACCCATGGACACAGACAATAAATAGTGTGGTGAAGGCCTGGGGTGGGGGGGCGGGGTGAGCTAGAAGGAGTCAATGGGGGAGGAAAGAGGGACATACGTAATACTTTCAACAATAAAGATTGGTTTTAATATTCTCAACAATTCTTCATCCCCAGCAGACAGAGGAGGACCATGAGGAGAGAGAACCAAAGCAGCGTGTCCCAGTTCCTCCTCCTGGGGCTCCCCATCCCACCAGGGCAGCAGGGCGTGTTCTTCACCCTGTTCCTGGGCATGTACCTGATCACGGTGCTGGGCAACCTGCTCATCATCCTGCTCATCAGGCTGGACTCTCGCCTGCACACGCCCATGTACTTCTTCCTCAGCCACTTGGCCTTCACTGATGTCTGCTTTTCATCTGTCACTGTCCCTAAGATGCTCAAGGACATGCACACTAAGTATAAATTCATCCCCTATGCAGGGTGTATTTCACAGATGTATTTCTTCATATTTTTTACTGACCTGGACAGCTTCCTTATTACATCAATGGCTTATGACCGATATGTTGCCATCTGTCACCCTCTTCAGTACACCACCATCATGAGGAGAGAGCTGTGTGTTTTACTAGTGGCTGTGTCCTGGATCCTGTCCTGTGCCAGCTCCCTTTCCCACACCCTCCTCCTGACCCAGTTATCCTTCTGTGCTAACACCATTCCCCATTTCTTCTGTGACCTTGGGGCCCTGCTCAAGCTGTCCTGCTCAGACATCTCTCTCAATGAGTTGGTCATGTTCACAGTAGGGGTGGTGGTCATTACTCTGCCATTTATATGTATCCTGGTATCTTATGGCTACATTGGGGCCACCATCCTGAGGGTCCCTTCAACCAAGGGGATCTGTAAAGCATTGTCCACATGTGGGTCCCACCTCTCTGTAGTGTCTCTATATTATGGGGCAATATTTGGGCAGTACCTTTTCCCAACATTAAGCAATTTCATTGACAAGGACATCATTGTGGCTCTCATGTACACGGTGGTCACACCCATGTTGAACCCCTTTATCTACAGCCTTAGGAACAGGGCCATGAAAAAGGCCCTTGGGAAACTTTTCAGTAAAGTAACATTTTTCTCACAGTAATATCTGTGACTTTTATTTAAATCAGAAACTCATTTTTGTTGATCTCACAGATCTGATTTTTCATTTGAGTATGTCTGAAAATTTTAAGGTCTCTGGAGACATAAGCCCTAAGATAAATGATGGCATATTGGATGTACTTGGTAAATATTTGTTGACCAGAACTTCATTATCTTATTAACAATGCTCTCCTTTATTAGTAACTTTTGATTAGCAAGTGTTAGATCAATTTTATTACTGATTTCTGCAACTTGGAGGCAGAAGAGATATAATAATATGTAGTTTGGTTATCTGTTATTAGAAGAGATTTTTTGGAAGCTCTTATATTTTGAGACCATAATCTCAAACTTTAACCCAAGAATCTAAAGGATTAGCTACATTATTTCTCTACACAATCTTATGCAAAATAAATAGGTTTTCTTTTCATCTTTATGGGCCTATTGAAAGCAAAGAATCCAAACTACTTGTCACTTATATAAGAAGAAATGTATTACTCTCCACCAATGATATAAAATGTTCTAACTCTGAAGATGAAGGTCCCTTTAGGAGATCAAGACTGGCCACAGGCCCCCCTTTGCCAGTACTGTGTGGTTGATATTGCTTAGCCCCCATACACAATAATTAATGAAAGCATGCTTCATGTTGTCATCCTTTGTAGATACATATGATCACATTACAGTGCATACTCTCTGCACACATCATCACTTTCCTACAAACACCACTCCAGTTCCAGCACTGACTATCCTTCATGGACATCCTGCCTTCCCAAATGAAGAAAGAAAGCAAAGCTGCCCAAGGTTTAGTGTGCACAAGAATTCCTGGAGAACTTGCTAAAACACAGGTTCCTGAAATCTACCACCACGAAGTCCAACTCAGTAGTTCTGGGATGGGGGCCCCAGATTTGCACTTATCATGCCCCCACATGATGCTGATGCTGCAGATCTGTGAACTCTGATTGGAAGAGCCTGGTGTAAAGAATTAAATTATGGAGGTATGGGATGCAAAATTATAACACCTTACATGAACTCTGGGAGTGGGGAGAGTGAAACAAGGGAATACTTAAATTATGTTAGTAATAGAGAAATCTCTGGTTCATGATGGTATTTTCAGATTGATTCTGCCTGCAGTACATTTCTTTTCCAATCTCTAATGGCTCTTTCCTGAGCTATTAGATTTTCTTTTGTCTTTCATATATAACATAGATATATCAGATACTATATATCATGCTTTGTATCATCACAGCAGACTATATGTTCCATGCAAATGAAGCCAAAGCTTTGAAAAAATCACAACCTATATCCATTAGTGGCTTTTTGTTTTTATGAAGCCTTGTGGGATTTCAGTTACACTTGTAATCTTGCTAATGTCACTCAAGCATATTTTGATATTTTAACTGAGAATTATTTCACACACGATGCACAATAAAATGTACATTTGTTATAAGGCACTGTTGATTTCCAAGTACCTATATCTATATCCACAAAGGGACACTTGAGTTCTTGACAAGGCACTGAACAATTTTATGTTATAAGATGTCATTCATGTCTAAAAGTCCTCATTTGACTTGCCATGCTCCTTGACATAGTCCACAATATAGCATTTGCCATGAGTCCCATCCATATTATTGTTATTATGGGCATCAAGTTTTCACCCCACTCTTTTCATCTCTTTTTTGTCTGCCGTATGCAAAATGCAATATGTTTACCCAATTTTATACCTAAATATAGGATTTATTACTACATAATCAGCAAGTAGAGTGACATTTAAGGCTCTGGTGATGCCCCAAACTCTAGTTAACCCATGAACCAAGAGGTCACAGTTCGATTCCTGGTCAAGGCATATGCCCGGTTGCAGACTCGATCCCCAGTGTGGGGCATACAGGAGGCAGCCGATCAATGATTCTCTCTCATCATTTATGTTTCTGTCTTTCTCTCTCTCAAACCCTTCTTCTTTGAATTCAATTAAAAAAATATTTTAAAAGAAGAATGAAATCTTTCATTTGCAAAAGTATGGAAGGACCTAGAGGATATGTGCTAAGTGAAATAAGGTGGTCAGAGAAAAACAAGTATCATCTGATTTCACTTATATGTAGAATCTAAAAAACAATATAACAAACAAAATAGAAACAGATACAGAGAACAGTCTGATGCCTGATGAGAGGGAGGTTGCAGGGCAGGGTGAAAAAGGGTAAGGGATTGAGATGTACAAATTGGTAGTTACAAAATAGTCATGGGATGTAAAGCACAGCATAGGAAATATAGTCAATAATCTATATATATATAAGCCTAAGAGACCGTTATAACCAAACGACCAGAACAACCGGTCAACCAGTCACTGTGATGCTCACTGACCACCTGGGGGCAGACGCTCAACACAGGAGCTGCCCCCTGGTGGTCAGTGCGCTCCCACAGGGGTAGTGTCACTCAGCCAGAAGCCAGGCTCATGGCTGGCGAATGCAGCTGCAGTGGCGGGAGCCTCTCCCGACTCCACAGCAGTGCTATTGAGCTGTGGCACCCAGCCCCTTGGAGGATGTCCGACTGCTGGGACCCCACCCCCCTGGTGCATGAATCTGTGCACCAGGCCTCTAGTATTGTAATAATTATGTATGGTGTCAGGTGAGTACTGGAAATATCAGGGGAACACTTTCTAACATATATGATTGTCTAACGGTTAGTGGTTCTCAACCTTCCTAATGCCGCGACCCTTTAAAACAGTTCCTCATGTTGTGGTGACCCCCAACCATGAAATTATTTTTGTTGCTACTTCATAACTGTAATTTTGCTACTGTTATGAATCGTAATGTAAATATCTGATATGCTATATGTGTTTTTCCGATGGTCGAGACCCACAGGTTGAGAACCGCTGGATAGTGTACACCTGAAACTAATACAAAATAATACTGAATGTAAACTGTAATTGAAAAAAATTTTTAAGAAAATCTGGCTCATAATTTGATCATAAAAATTTGAGGGGCAGAGCCCTAGTACAAAATAATACTGAATGTAAACTGTAATTAAAAAAAATTTTTTTAAGAAAATCTGGCTTATAATTTGATCATAAGAATTTGGGGGGCAGAGCCCTAAGTCTCCTATTCTAAATTCAGGGTTCTGAAAGAGAAAGGGTGGAAATGTGAGACCTATCATTGGGACATTTAGATAGAGTTATTTGAATCTCATACTCCTTTAAATCCTACAGATGAGTGGAAGCATTCCACTTTCCCTTGGCAGACAAGAGCAGAGGCCCACTGCCTGATTGCCATGAAAAGGTTCTGTGATAGATTTAGCACTTGGCTACAAATTCTTTCTCTCTGATTCTGCATCCTTGAGATGTGACTTGGTATCTCCTCCAAAGAGGTAAAATTTGCAACCCTAGAATATGGATTGGCCTTACATCTTCCTTTTGCCAATAGGGTAACAGCAAATTTAACACAAGCAAGGTTTTGAAAAGTGTTTGTTTTCTTGCTGTTCTTGGAACAGTGGTAACATGTGAACATGCCTTGGCCAGCCTGTCCTATGATGAAAGGCATGTGATCCTGTATGACTCCCATTGTTTCAGTTTAAAAGCAGCCAGGCTCCAGGAGCACTGTCACCCAGTCGATGGACTGCTGACTGCAAACACATCAGTGAGCCTCCAAAGCCACTAAGAGAATTACCCAGCTGAGCTGGATCTAAACAGCTAACCCATGGAAAAGAAAACTAAGTAAATGGTGGTATTTTCTAAACACTAATTTTGGAGTTGTTCTGGAGCATTTGATAAATGAAAAAGTTCTCCCCTGAGGTGGATGATGTGCAAGGTGATGTTTGCCTTCTTAAAATGCCTGCCTCCCTCCCTCATTTCTCTAGATTCATAACTTGAAACAGATTTCAGCATAGTCCCAACAGGGGACAACAGTCCTGGCTATATGAATAGTTACCTGATTCATCAAAAGGGGGGCAGATTTGGCTAAAACATCCCACTAATAACTGGCTGAATAAATACAAGTGGAGGTGGATCCTCAGGGTGCTGGACAAGGAAGTAATGGAACATAAGGCTCATAAGGCTAGATAGAGTACATTTGTTTGATGTGGGAGCCTTCTCATATGAGGAACACCTAGAACGAGTTCTTCTACACAGCTGGGATCATTGACAGGCTTGGAAATGATGGCAGCCTACAATAAATGAAATGCAGATGCTAGAACCCCTTGGCAAAGTATTGAAGAAGAGGTCAGAATCTTAGGTACATGGCCATATGAGAATGCATTTATTATAGGAGACCAGAGAATCCACCAGCTACTGTGTTCCCCAAGAAGGGACAGAAGATTCTTCCTTCACTAAAGCAATAAAGAATTCAGTGATTCTGAGGACATCAGAATCACTGAAAAGTTGACTGATGATCTCTTCCCTAGGACAGACTGATAGGAAATGCTAAAATGGAGCTTGGCTCTTTGGTGTCAACAGGAATAAAATTTCCTGAGGCATCAGAGGCCCAGGAGGCAGCACTTAACCATCAAGGTATGTGACTGAAAATGGCAAAATACCAAAATGTGCAACAAGGCCAGATCTCCTATAGAGATCTGTTGTATTGGCTAATACACTGTGGTATTTCTAAGGCTGAGGTAGAGGAGAAGCCAATGAGGGTATTGCTTTAATTATATAATAAAAAAATTAAAAATAGTACGTGGCAAGCTGATGGTAGCTTTTGCAAAAAAAAAAAAATCATGATCCATCACCCAGTTTTAAACTTGAATCAAAGTTTAAGGGTGCAGCAAGCCATCATACAATGGAACTATAGGGTGTCCCCAAGAAATGTATACACACACTTTGAATACTTATAAAGGCAGTGTTTACTAAAAGGCATTTGATTTTCAAAATTGAACTATCAGCTGTTACAATGTGTATACATTTTTTTTTTGAAACATCTTGTATTTGGGATTAGCCTCAAGCAGATCCAGAGAGCACCATGATAGGGATGATCAGCCCAGATCCCCATGTCCTTTACCTTGGTTTCAGTTTCCTTTCACTCA